GTCCAGGATGAACATTTTGTGTCGAACAACTCCGAAGGAAGAATGTCATCTGCTGCTAGTTCTGCTCCAAACATGGATTTCAATGAAGTTCCGAAGAATCGTGAAGTTGCGAATGACTCCTTCATTGTGACTCAAAGAAACGGAGGAAATGAAGGCGGGTCAAAGCTGAATGGATACGTAGAAAACTTTGGCCCGATTACAAAGATCAAAGAAAATATCGGTGAAGATATATTGTTATCACACATATCAAGAGAACCGAGAAATGAACTCGGTGATCCATTAAATACTTTTGCTGCCGATTCATCATTACAAGCCAAGGGAAGAGGATCGGATGATTGGTTTATCGTTGATAACAATTTGGAAAGTACGAGAAGCCGTGATTCCTCAGTTATGCCTATAGTGTTCGATTCTTCCCACGCTGAAAAAAGAAGTGAAAGAAATATCATCGATGATTCCTTCATGATACACGGCGATCAGTTGGTAGATAACAATCTTTCTGATTCGCAATGGAAGACGGATATGAGTATGGTTGAAAATCTAACATCTCCCAACAAAGTAGAAAGTGACACAAAAGAAAAAAATGCAGTATCAAAGATAGAGGAGCCAAATGATCTCTGTGTGGTTCTACGGCGCGATTCTTCTGGATTGGATTCTGTTGGGGCCTCGAGAACCATGGACTACGAAATCGACTTTTCTTATTCAGAACCTGATAGAAGAACTTCCGTTGATGATTCGAGCGTTAATGCGAATAACAACAATCTTCCAAGTAGTCCAAAGAAAACCAACGCGGTTAAAACCAAAGTCTCGCGATTACCTGCAAAGGGAAAGCCCGAAATAATTCCTAGAAGCAGAAAACCGTCTGTTCCAAGTAGGCCTATAGTTCAAAAGAGCCAAAGGGAAAAGGTATTGTGAATTTTCGATTTTTATATTTTCTCATAACACTTTTGATTACTGATTAATCATTGTGATTTCGTAACAGGAAGATGAAATTAGGAAGAATTTGGAAGAAAAGGCGAGTGAACGCCAGAGGAGAATAGCCGAAAGAACTGCATCTTCTGGTGTTGTCCGAGCCGTGCCGGGGAAAACCGATAAGAACAAGACTCAAGCTGTTAAAGAAACAAAGAGAATCAGTTCTGTTAAGGTCAGGGGAGTATAGAAAAACTGGTTGATCAATGTGTTGATGAATGCATATCATATAAAGTATATAGGTGATGGTGAATCTATAAGGTAAAGTGTATTTAAATGATTGATGATTGTGATTAAATTAAATTGAAATTATTTGTTTTGTTTTGTATAAATAAACAAACTTTCAAGGTCATTAGAAATTTTCTGACCTATATAGTTACTCAAAATTGAGATTTCTTTTGAATTTTGAATCTTGGTTGTGTATTTAGTATTCTTTATTCTCTGTAATGTATGAAACATTTGCATGTGCAAATAACAATCAAAATTTGTCCTTTTGTTTTTATTGCATTTTCAGTTATACTAAAAATAGTAACTAAGATTGGTCAAATGGTAAGAAATTTGGATGTCTCAAGTGGTCAAAACGATATTTCTGATCGTAACGCATCCTTATCCTTAACATGTAAGCACTCAATCTTAACACATTGTTCAGGACAAACAATATTAAAGACTTTATACTTATAACATAGTATTGTAACATTAATTCAAGTAACAAATATTGTAACTAAACACTTTATTTTGAATTTGAATTTGAAAACTACATGTGGAAAAACTTTATATTTACAATCATTTTAAAAACTACATTCATAGATATAGGAGATACAACATTGCTATTTATAAACCTTTTGACTCTATGTAAAAGATCAACGGTTTATAGTGCTAGAAAATCAAAAATGTCAAAGACAATTAGTATGAAAACATGTTGATTGTCGGAACACGCTTTTTCATATTTGACCACTTTACTTAAATTAAAACCACCAGTACTCGTGTGGAAAAACTCCAATCAAATTCACACAAGCATGTTTTTCTCCTACCCACCTATACACTAGAACATCTGCTGATTTAAGTGTTGATCTCCCCTCATATGGGTCAGGCAAGAAATTCATAGGCCCCTCTTTCTTCAAAAATAATTTGCCCCGCCGAAATATATCAAATATGACATCCCTAACAAGGTTATGTTAGTATTTGAAGCCTGAAAGCTCCCTACAATGAATCATGTGTTCTCCAAATATACTCAAATACGTCTTATGATAAATATGACAAACCTCATTAATAGAAAAGAAAGGAATCATAAGGCAATGTCTTAGAATAGTACGATATTACACTGGTGACATATATTGGTCTAACCCATCAATAGGAATAGCAAGGAGAAAATCCTGAGCATGTGCGGCTTGCAAACAACCAAAAATTGCTTTTTGTCTTATGATCATGTCAAACTTTACTTTTATGTACTTAACATTTTACTAAAAAGGGCACTCGTCAAAATATATTGTACTTTAGGAAGGACAAAGTCCTTACTAGTAAAACTGTTAAGGTCAAAATATGGAATCATAACATTATACCATCCAAAGCTATGTGGAAATCCGAGTACATACTATATACCCCAATGTCTCTCAAAATATGATCATGTAACACCAATATTGTGCCCTAGAAGCCACAAAAGTGTATGAGGTAGTCTATACTGCCGAGTACACACCCAAACCCCCAACTCGATTGGGTAAAGAAGCCACCCTCTATTGAAGGTCTCAGAAGAAAGGTCCTCCACCAACCATGATGTCTTCAACAATCCTTCGTAACTCTTTATCAAACCAAATAGCTGTTTCCTCTATATGATTAGGTTGACACGTTTTTATGCCAAAAAACAATTTGTCAATGCCCATGCAGGATCGAAGTAGAATAAACTCACTTTGAGGATCCCTTATTTGTGGTAGAATATGCATTAGTTCAATAGCTCTGGAAGCTCTCTTCATGGAAAACCCTTTAATAAAACTGTAATCTCTACTAATAACCCCTCCAAGCAACTTCATCGCTAACATCGGCCTCCCAATTTTCGACGGGAACAAATCTTCACAAAGTTTACTACTATCACATGAAGACCAAAAAGATCTTAGTCCTACGAACATTCAATTTAATACCTAATCTTGGATATGTCTCTATAATGATATCAAAGGCTTTAGCCACCTCTTGTGAATCCCTTATAATAGTCCCATCATCAAGTTACTAGACATGAAGAAAGAGCTTACACTTGTCTCTAACTTGATGAATGAGTGGGTGTAACACATGAGATAAAAATGAGCGGTCCTAACAGGTCACCTTGTTGCACTCCAGTGGCTGATATAATATGTTCATCCCCAAGGTACAACCTTACTGCTTGACCATAAAGAAACTCAACCCACAAAGAAATAGATGAGAACCTCACCCTCACCTCACGCAATATGGCTGATTGTTCTACCATGTTGAAAGCATTCGAGAAATCTATAGTGAGCATAACCAAAGAACTATCTCCATGTTGCTTGCTTAACACCCTGTTGGAACTGTGCAAAATCAACATCAGTCACTAGGGGGGCTTCGGAGAACAAGGTGGTCGACATGGAAGGAGGTAGTTTGTATGGGTACTTAGCCTCCAAAGCCTTCATTGTGTGTCCATTATAGGGGGATACTCCAGATGACCCTAACACTTTTACAACTGCTATGAAATGGTCGTTTGCAACCTCAAAGGTTCCCAACACACTATCAACTAACTTGGCAAGATCATATGCGTCTTTCCAAGTAGCTAAACACTCTAAAATGTGGTGTTGTTGCAAGAACTTCCGATTTCCAATCCCACGTAAGGCTTAACCACATGTAAAGTACAACGAAGAAAAATTAACAATGGGACCCAAACACCTATTGATCCCGGATCATCAACCACCTTATAAAAATCATCTTTCAATGCTTGAGAGAAAGCAAGACAACAATTAAGAGGTATACTTTTCACGGGGAAGATAGGTGCTGTAAGGACTCTCTCTAACAACCTTGCATCCAAAACGAGCTCCTCATTTGTTTTGAGGTTATCGGAATTAGTTGTGGATTGTTAACAATACCCACAATGTGACTTTCAACCTCTCATATCTCATGAGTGACACGAACCAGACCATCAAAATGATGACATGTCCGATTCGTGGCATAAATGTTCAGACATCTTCCGCATAACCAATGTTCAACCCACTCAAAGACTAAAATTGTGTGAAAATATGAATAAAAAAAAACTAAAATTGTGAATTAGTAATAATTGAGGACTAAAATTGGATATTTTTTGGTAAAGTAGAAAATGTACTTACAAGTTGAGAATAAGTTGGAACTTTTTATGGCGAAAAATGTTACTATAAATCAATCATTCACCAAATTCAGCAACCGAATGCATTTAACAAACTATAACCAAAATGTTAAGTAATTTGTAGATGTTAGAACTGAATTATCGAGAAGTTAATTATATTTAGAAAGAAATAAATAGAGCCGTAACAACAATTTCTAGTAGATGCAAAAAGAAACAGAAGCTGTTCAATATTCTCTTAAATATTTTTATGTTTATGAAGCATATAACAAAAAATAAGTTTAAAAAACAACCATACCTTATACCAGTAATAAGTTAATTTTTTTTGTAATTAATGTAACCTCTTTATATGGAAAATAAATACATCAAAAAAATTATTTAGAAAGAACACATAAATTATCATTTCAGCAATTCTAAATAATCTCTTCCTTTTGGTTGAATTTGTATGATTAATTAATTTGTGCATTTAACTCTTGAGTTAACCATTGCATGAACACAACTTGACAAATGCAGCTTCAGAAAATCCACAACACATGAATGGAAAGGTGACTTTACAATCCTTAATTTAATAAAAACAAATAAATGTCTTGTATTTCTATTGTTTGTAAAATATTTTAGACATTTTTAATTCATCAAAACTTAAACGCGTTTTGTGATGTTTATGGTTTGCACATCATGTTTGTTTCTTTTATTTCAGAGTTTCCTTGCAATATAAGCAATTAAGATGTCTTCTACTAGATTATGTGGTTTGAAGCCTCTACTCTTTCGTCGAAAATCAAGTCTTAACGAGGTGATTAATTAAGTGTTTATCGTTCTTTTGTTATTATAACTTTCAATTTCTTGAAATTTTTTAAGGGTAACAACGCAACTTGTTCTCTGTTTCTATGCTATTTCTGTATAATTTGAGTTGTTGATTACGCATATATGCAGTCAATGAGAAGTTCAACCTCACCAAAGAAGTCACCAAAGGCTAACAACGATGATTTGAAGTGCGATTTGAAGTGCGAGTCGATGGAATTATCATTTGTAGGTATGGATCAATTGATGTTAATGATGGAAGTTCATAAGAAAATCTTTGTCTTCAGAGACATCATGGACCTTGTTCCTTTGCAAACTTCAGCTTCCTTACGTCAGGTACGATACTCGACCTTGAAATAAGCATAATGTTCATGACAATTGTATGACATTTTTTTTTTCATATATATTGTAGATGGTTATTACAACCTTAGAAGATCTTCAACGGCTTTATCCGATGATCATACCGATCAAGAAAGTCGCAAATATTAACGATAAGTCTACCGATCAGGGTCTTGTCTACTTCTGCGAGGCGTTAAAGTCTCTTGGAGAATCATGGTTGATATACGATTTCAAGGACAAGAACAATAACGAGTTACCGATACCATCTTGCAAGGATAACACCAATATGAAGGAATTAGGTATTGATTGTTTCCTTGCGAAAGAATTAATAATCAGTGACAGAATGTGAATTTAAAATACCATTTCAATTTTTTTTTGCAGGTGTTACTATGTTGGCTACACTGGATTGTTTGATTAAGATTGCGAGTGAGAGATTTGATGTCATGGAAGAAGATTCGCCGAAGAGAGTTTTCAAATCGTCGTGTATCTCTGATATAAGCCCTTCTTCTCCGCTCACGCCAACGTCGGTTCTGCCAGAACCTATTGAATACACTGCAAAATTAGTTTCTTGTAACGCAAGGCTTTGGTCTCTGAGAATTCAAGGTGTTGAAAAGCTGAATCCGATCGATTTTAAGCGATTATCTTACTATATGTCACCGCAAATCGTTGAAACGCTTGATAATAAGATCGAAAAAGAAGTAATTGTAGATGAGGAAAAGGATCAAAAAGTGGAAAATTATGAAAAGGATCAGAAAGTGGAAAATTATGAAAAGGATGATACAATAAAGGATCATGTTTTTGACTTGGAAAAAACATTTCCTTTGCCGCTTCCGCTGTCTCCTCCTCCGCCGCTTCCTCCATCAACAGCTCGATTGCAACAAAGTGAAGTGAAAGTTAAGACTCCGCCGCCGCCGCCTCCTCCTCCACTTCCACCATCAACAGCTCCATTGCAACAACATGAAGTGGAAGTTAAGATTCCACCGCGACTGTCTCTAGGTTTAGCCTCAGTAAAACCTGGATCAGCTCCAGCTCCTCCACCATTGCGCGGAAACGGAAGTGCTATACCGCCTTCACCGCCGCCACAGCCACTGCCTCCTCCACTTCCACCATCAACAACACCTCAATTGCAACAAATTGAAGTGGCAGTTGATATGCCACCACCTCTGCCGGCGCCGCTACCTCCATCAATTCCACCACCTCCGCCACCTTTGTCCATGAAACCTGGATCTTTACCAGCCCCTCCACCACCGATGCCGCATGGAAACGGAAATGCTGCTCCACCGCCTCCGCCATTGGGAGCAGGGAGAATCTTAAAGCCTAGAGCAACTACAAAACTGAAAAGATCAACTCAATTAGGAAACCTGTATAGAATTCTCAAAGGAAAAGTAGAAGGGTCTAGCCTCAAAGGAAAATCATCTAGTGGAAAAAACAATGCAATTGGAGCAAAAAGCAATGGAGGAAAACAAGGAATGGCTGATGCTCTAGCAGAGATGACAAAAAGGTATAATAATAATAATAATAGTTAACTCTTGAAGTCTCTGAAGCACCGACACCTCTAAAAAATGGTGTGTCCGTGTCAATGTGTCATGTCTGATGTCTGTGTCTCTAGTGTCTGTGTCTGTGTTTGGGCCTGAAGTTGAATCAAATGTCTCACCCATCTCTCTGATTATTGATTTCCTTGGTTTGTTTCTTTCTCCGCATTTTTACTAGATCATCTTACTTTCAACAAATAGAAGAAGATGTTCAAAAGTACACAAAACACATCATGGAACTAAGATCTACCATCACAAATTTCAAGACAAGCGAAATGACAGAATTGATCAAGTTCCACAAAGATGTCGAATCCGTTCTTGAGAATCTAACCGATGAATCTCAGGTAAGTTTAGTTTTAAATCATCATATCCCTTAGAATTACACAACCATCTAATGCATTTATCATACTACTACTAATATTGCGAAGCATGGTGAGTGATTCGTCGAAAAAATCTACGTTAATTATGATTCGCTATAATCGGTTTATGTATAGGTCTTATCGAGGTTTGAAGGTTTCCCGTCGAAGAAGCTCGAAGCTATAAGAATGGCAGCCGCACTCTACAATAAAATGGATTCAATACTCAAGGAGCTTCAAAATGTGAACATCGTTTCGCCCGTGACTCAGATTCTCGACAAAGTCGAACGTTACTTCAACAAGGTAACCCGAAAAATCCCTTAATATTAACATGCTATAAGCCATTTCCTTTGTCTGCATTGATTCATTCAAACATTATTCATTACTAATCCAACCAGATCAAACAAACAGGTAAAAACAGAATTAGATACATTAGAGCGAACGAAAGACGAGGAATCGAAGAAGTTTAAGAGTCACAACATCGAGTTCGATTTCTACATCCTAGTAAAAATCAAAGAAGCAATAGTTGATGTTTCCTCCAATTGCATGGAGCTAGCACTAAAGGTTAGAAAAATGTCATCATTATATTATACGCGGAAAAAATAAAAATATAAACTGCATTATCGACGAACTCGATAAGGTTATTTAGTTTAATATTGTATTTGAATTTTGATGCAGGAAAGACGCGATAAAAACGCGGAATCGAATTTGAATGGTGTTAGTGATCAAAAAAGAAAAGAATATGGCAAGTTGCTATGGAGGGCTTTTCAATTTGCATTTCGAGTTTATACATTTGCTGGTGGACATGATGATCGAGCTGATAAGCTTACAAGAGAATTGGCTGAGGAAATTGAGAGTGATCCGAATCAAATCAAACATAGTCATGCATGAATCATGATGTTCTACAAAGATTATTGCTATTGATTATGTAATATATATGTATGTGCATGTGGGGATTAAAACATTGACATGTGCTTAGATTCCTAAGATGATTTTAGTTTTGGTTTTGTTTCTAAAAATTTGTCCATTTTTGTAGCTTTTTTCAAGCTAATTTAATGAATTATTGAAAATTGAATACTATGTTTAGCAAAAATGTGTGTTGAATGATGATATTTATAGTAAAATTTAAAGAAATATTATAGCTTGTGTGTTGCTATTGTTTGATATCTCATGACTTGGGAAATGAAAGAGATGATTCAAGTGTTTGTATTACGGGTAAAAATTATTAGGCATGGGAATTTAAATTCAAGATGTTTGTGAAAAGAAGAAGGAATTATGGAGTCAATTAGACTATATTTGTAAGACATAAACATATAAAGTTGTTTTTAGATAAGTGAAAAACTAAAAATACTCAAATTCAAATGAGATCTTAAGGTGAATATTTACAATTTTTAGTAGATAAATTTTAGAGTGGATATTATAGTTTTGTGGTGAATCGTGTTGTAGGATTACAATGGCAAGATGGGTTAGACCTAACATTTTTGTCGGGCCATATTAAGGTTTTTGGGTTGCACCCTTTACTTTTTCTGTCCCATCCTATTTTTTGGCGGACTTTGACGGACGCAAATGAGATATTGTTTTTTTTTTGCCACTTTTAGGTTTTACAGGTGCCACACCATTTTTTGACAGATTTTGGCGGGACAACAATTTCTATTTGCCACCCCTACCTAGGATGTACAAAATTCCACGAGGGAAACTGCATTATTTTGTAGTCATGTGCATGTGTATATATTCATCACATAAGAGCATATGGTACATTTAATCATAAAATTAGGGTATGTGATGCCCGACATTGAGGAAAATTGGTGTATGAGACTATTAGGGTATGCGATGTATTATGTAGAGTTAAACAAAGTTAAATTCATAAGGGACTTAAGTTGTGATATTGTGAAAGCTCGCTTGATCTTGCACATAATGTTGTATCGTGTAGTTTGATCAAATAAAGATAAATAAAACAATAGCAAGTCTTGCAATACTAAGGTAATGTGTGTCGCATCACTGCGAAGAGGGACCGACAAGGACAGAAGAGTCGCCACCGTTTGTTATTTATCCCAAAAGAGGAAAATAAAACGATTAGAGAAAACCTACGAAAAAGGGAGAAGACAGGTCATCGCAACCAAATCTTGGGTTCGAGAGTCGGTTACGCAAGGGGAAGGTATGAGCACCCCTCACGTCCGTTGTACTCAACGAGATCCACGCTTGTTGTCTATCTAAAAGGGTGTTGATCTATAAGGCTGGCCACAGGGACAAAAGGAAAGAAAAGAGACTTGATAGATCATCGCCGCTCTATGCCTACGTATTTCCTCGTGCAATGGGAAAGTCAGATTCAACGTAGTTCGGAAAACTACGGGTGAAGGTGGGGAAGGTTGCTCGCCAAGACATCGCCATCTTGTGCCTACGTATCCTCGTCTGGTATGAGAAATCAGAGCAAACGTAGTTCGGTATGACACGACCACAGGTTGATTCAAGTGTTTTAACTGAGTAGGGTTAAACCTTTGTTCTAGCAGTTAGGTGTATTACTGCTCGACCATTGGAGACTTAGGCGTTACCTGTTTGCGGTAGAATCAAGAGTTAACACATTCTTTCTGAAAATGATTTTCAATTAAACCCGAAGGGTAAAAAGTTTTGATGTTTTGTTTGTGTTTTTTAAGAGAAGAAGTGAATTGAGTTAAGTTTGTAACTCATGTTGCACTAAAGACTATGACTTGAGAACGAATGCATGACATATCACCTAAAGGGCATACGCTAAACACTCTAGATAGTTGAGAGGAAGCCCCCCAACCGTCATTCCCCAAATGTTTAAGGCACATAATGTACAACACTTATTATCCTTTATTAGATGTCTTGAAGAAGTTTTGAGATGAGAAGAGAAGACACCAACTCTAAGGGGAAACTAACTCAACCCTAATGTTATCATGCAATGTGCTCCTAAGATTGAGATTGAGAGGGGAAAAGACTATCCTAATGTTATCATGCTTGGATTGAACACTTAATGTCTCTCCAACTCCTACCTTAAACAAATGGGACTAGGAATCCTAAGGGATCATGACAAAGAAACCAAGAAAGCACAAGATAAATCAATCACAAGATGAAATGCAAGAAAGGGATGAAGATGACTTAAACAAGTCAAGAGAATATGCAAACATGATATGCAAGATGCAAGAGATGCAAAGCAAACAAAGATGAGAACAAAGTGACTTAAACAAGTCAAAGAGAAAGTGAGATGAAATGGTAGAAGTTACAACTCCTACAACCATTCAAACATCAATCACCAATACCAAAAGGTAAACACCAAAGCTTAAAGAAAAATACATGATCAAGATGAAGATGGGAGAATAGGCTTGGGCAGCAAGCAACATGAGAAATATCTCAACCAAATGCATCAAATTAATCATGCAAAAAGAAAGCACAAACATGTTCTCCAAGTGGTTTCTCATTCAAAGCAAACTCAAAGTGTGATCAATCAAACCAAATCACTTTGAATTAGTACCACAACCCAAAGGACATAAGTGAGAACATGAGAAGAGAGCTCACAAACAAGGGGTGAAACAAAGCACAAACAAGTTACAAGTTAGGGCAAAGGAAAGAATCAAAGTTCAAACCACATTCAACACCTAAACACAAGTGGAAGGCCTAACTTTAATGTAACTTGCAACACAAACTACACAAATGTATGACCTATAAAATTAAAACCAGCATCCTAAACATGTCAAGAATGTGAATCAAGAAGCATAGGATGCATATGGGATCCATCAAGGTCATCTCCCAAAGGAACTAGGTCAACTAGTTTTATGAACTTCAACTAGGGTGACTTGACTTGCAAGGTTCACCAAAAATAGGAGAATTGTTCAATAAATCTCAAATAAAATGCACAAAGCACCTAATCATGTTGGAAACCAGAGGCAAAAACATCCAAACCAAATTCCAATCGAGGCATCACCAAATGATTTGATCAACTAGGGTGCTCCACCTTATGGAATTATTATCAAGGGTAAAAAAAAAGCAACACAAAGTCAAACAAAAATTGATCAAACCTTGACCAAAATCAGCCTTAAAGGTACCTCAATCCATCCTCAAGACGGAGAGGAAAACTCATTCATTGGTGATTGCAAATGGTACATCAAACAAGAATGATCAAGTGAAAAGAATTTCAAAAAAACAACTCCAATTGCAAAATTCAAAATTAATTGCAAAATAAAAGAAAATTGAAATTAAAAATTATATAAAATTAATTAAAGTTTTGAAATGTTTGAAAATAATTTTTGTGTAATGTTTAGCAATTTGGAGCTATTTTTAAAATTGCAAAACAAAACAGAAAAGAAAAATAAAATAAAATAAAATGCAAGTTGGAATGGGGGTGAAAAAGCAAAACAAAAATGCAAATGGATCAGTTAAATACACGCTGGGATCAAAATTGAGGAGGTGGGGATATCAAAATCAGTCCAATCCACTCAGGCTAGTCTCATTAGCCAAAATGCTCCGTTTCATTAAACGGACGTGGCTTCAACGTGCCAAATCACCCTGGTCAAGCAAATCAACATAAGACACGCACGCAGTCAACCTTTCAACGCAAGGCCACATCAGATCTGAAGGTCAAATAACCAGATGCTGGAGCTAGGGCTCCGGTCGTCTTCTTCAATGAGATGGCTGGAGCTCAGTTGACCAAAGCACCACCAACAACCACAAAATTGGTACCGTTTGAAAGCAGAGCTTACCAGGTTCCAAATCCAAGATCCAAACCTTGAAAACACTCATGAATTGAGAGAATCGAAGGCTTGAAGTTTGATGCACACATGCTGAAATTCAACCAAACATGAACAACAAGCAATCAAACATGGCCTACTCAATGTAGGGCTTCAGATGCAGCCAATATGAGCCTAAATCATGGTCTAGAATGAGAGAAATGAGGATTGGAAACTTACTGAACGGAGACACTCTGTTGGTTCTTCAAACGCGTGTAAGCTTGCTTCTTTTGCTCCAGATCCACTCCAAATACTTCAAGGAAGATGAATTGAGCTTCAATTGAACTTGATTTGCAGAGAAAAAGTGAATTCGATTTTGAAATTTCCTTGAGAACTTTGAAGATGTAACTGCTCTCTCTAGCTCCAAATGCACATTCTGGGCTCTTAGGGCAAACTTAGAACTTATATATGATGGATCTCAGATGATTTGAAAGGCCCATGAAGCCTTAATTTGATTATTTTAAAAAAAATCCCAAAATAAGAAAGTTTCTCATGCACACGTGAAATGCTCTCCTTCACTCATGAAAACCCTTCCAATTTATAGCATGTGAGCTCAATTTTGCAATGGAATTGGTTTGGGCCTTTGGTTTGATCCAATTTGCAAGATTGAACTTGAAACTTACTTGTGAAGAAACTTGAAATTGCACATGTTCATGCCTTTGGTACTCATTCAATTTGTGCAATTTTGCTCATGAACACATTATGAAGTGAATTGATTCAAAATGATAGCAAGTTATGACCTATAATGAATCAAATTCAAACCATGCTTAAAAATCCATAATTCACTTGAAAATTCTTCCACATGTTTAGATACATCCATGATTCTTGTGATCCTTGAGCTTTATGATTTAAATGAGGTCTCTAGGAGAAAATTCCATGTTGGTTGGAAGTTCATTTGAGGTACACAAGTGCATGAAAATGACCTATGTACCAAATGACCTATAACGAAATCTTCCCAAAATACCATCGCCTTGCCAAAGCCATAACTTGAGTTCTACATATGATGTCAAGGACTTCTTGGAAAGCTAAGATCATGAGGAACAACTTCCATGTTCACCTAAAGTTGAGGGGAAACATGCTTCTAGGTCAAAAGTGCTTTTGAAGTGAGTTGACTTTTAGTTGATGAAAAATAAGTTCATCTGAGACCTC